CCTGCCCCCACCTCCTGCGCCAGCCCCCCTCCGAGCTGCGGAGACCAGGGGCCCACTCATGTTGATGGGAGAGAGAGGAAAGGGTCCTCCCCAGCCCTGCCCCTGTCCCTGTCCCACCTCCCACAATCCACTTGTGGATGATTTCACCCTGGGCCTCTGGAAACAATGCCGATTCCCTTCAGGCCTAACCCTCAGAGCCATTCCAGCGGCAGGGCCTTCATGCCAGGTAAGAGGAGCCGCGTGAGGCTGCCAGATGGCGGGGGAGACAGGCCTGGGTGAGCAGGCTCGAGACTGACGCGAGCTCCAGGGGATCAAGTGTTGTCATCGTGCTCAAGAAGAGGGGTCGAGTGACCTTCATCACACATTACAAAACCCTGTTATAGTACCCCCCTAATTACCCAGGCTTGGATTTAACCTGGGACAAATCCTTCTCGTCTTATGTTTCTTCCTTCCCCACCCCCATGCTCTATCTTTCCTCCTTCCGAGCCATCACTCTTAAAATCATGGCAATAACAACAAATAACTATTACTAATTACTTTAGATCATCATTTCATCTAAGATATCACACTCAGACTATTTCCCCTTGTTTTTCAGATAAGCAAGTTCGTTCCCAAGGTCACAGGCACGCAGCGGATAACTGGTAGAGCTGGGATTTGAACTTGAGTCTTTGTGGCTCCAAAACTTTTGTTCTGTTCTGCCAGTGGCCTCGAGCGCTTTGCTCTAAAGGTCACATGTCTCAGCGAATGACCTAAATGCAACAGGTCATACCGGGAGTGCAGGTGGGTCATTGCAATTTTCATCTCAAGCAGGCTCTCTAGCAGGAAGCTGGCGGAGGGAGTGGGGCAGCGAGCTGGGGACTCAGCCGGATGCTTATGTTCTCGTTGCATTTTGGTGAGAATAGATATTTATTGTCAGAATTCATCTGGGAACAATGTTCCTAGAATATTTTCTCTGCCCCCATCCCCGCACTTTCCTTCCCCAACACCAATCTCTTGTGCATACGCCAAAATGATAGACAGAGAATTTCATACATTTAATGCCTTTCCTTCCATTTACACCATCATAAATTACAAAGTATTGCTCACTTCACAAAATAAAACCATTTCCGGATAATTTTTGACAGTATCAAGAAGGACATAAGCTACAGCGAACCAACCTGTACAGCTGGGAGGAACCAGGAGAGCAGGGCCCAAGCACAAGTGCTTGACCCCCACCAGCCAATAAAGTCCATCAGCGGAGCCCTTGGGACTTCCCGGGACAACTGCACTGTCTACTCCTTCCAGCTCCCTTATCACAGTAATTTTCTTCTGGTTGCTCCAAAACAAGACTAGTGAGTAATCATATAAATCATCTCAGACAATCAGAGGAAAAGACATTGCAGGTGGACTGGAGAAAAAAAAAAAATCTAGATTTACAGTTTTTGATGTTTTAAATATTTTACCTATGTTACAAAATATAGAAATCTCGGTGTGAAAAGCTCATGCTAAGATAAATAGAACCAGTCAGGACTGTGGTAATAAAATCATATTAAATTATTATCCATACAGGGCTACTTTTATCAAAGAGGAACAAATATTCATCAAAACCAAACTTGTTCATTCTTACTTTTAAAAAATAGGCTTGTTTATAAAACAAAAATGAAAAAAAGCCAATTATTCTGCAGATTTGCTTCTCATCAATACAGAAATGTGGCAAAACTACAATTTGGTGTTAGCAGATGAAGTCAGAGTGCTTGCCTGGAAAGAAAAGAGAAAAAACGCTAACTTTGTATACAGCCCAGGTACAGGTACACCTGGTGTTCCCAAATTTGATGGAAAGTGACCACGCTCTGCATGTTCTGGGATGTGCACACGTGATACAGAAAGACTGTGACCAATTCCAAACAGGCTTTGGGACTTTACCAAATGTTTATGGGAAGAAAGTGTGTAGATGTCTCAGACCACTCTACAATTGCTATAAACATATACCATACGATAGCAAAAGGCCAATGCTTAACAGCAGAAACGGTCAAAAGCAGGGCGGGACCCAGGTGGCAGGTGAAATTTCATAGGGAAGCTCTGAGAAGGACAGAGGTATGTCAAGATAATACTGCATTCATGGTAAACTGTTCCAGCAATCACAGCAAGAAGGCAGGACAAGGTACACAGGGGAATAATCAATGCACTGCATTGAGTTCTATTTGCTAAAATAAAGTAACATTCTTGCAGCTCAAATAAAAATACATCTTACAATATAAGTTTCCTTTAACATTTAACATATAGAATTGTCTTCTTTTTTGTAAGTGGAAAATGTATAACTGTATCAAGTACCTCTATGAATGGAATTCCCTTTTATCACGGATAAGACTGAAGTTTAAAGGTCTACATTGGTTTTTAATAAGTTAAAGAAAGATTTTTTTAATCACTCTTTCAGCCAAACAGACGTACACACGAGGCACGGCAGAGACCCCAGGGGAGGGCCTTTTCTGACCCTCGCCCTCGCGGCTCTCACGTGAAGGAAGCGAGCGTCTGTGCGACACAGTAGCCGACTTGGCCATGCACCTGCGGTCCAGGAAATTCTGTCGCTGGTTTGGAAAACAAATCAAGTGTAAGAAAAGTTTTTATTCCTTTAGCCTTTGGAACTTCCATGGGGCTGCAGCCATTCAGCTCATTTCCCTTGTGGATTAAAACAACACATCTTCATTTTCTATTAAAATCTGCACAATTAGCTTTTGGTACCGCATGTCGTGGAGGGTGGTGAGCATGCTGTCCTCAGGGGGCCTCATCAGGGTGGGCCCGAAGACGATCCCCAGATTCTCAGCGTTCATGAAATTGTCCTTTTCATTCATAGTCACCCTGCAAGACAAACACGTACACAGAGACATCACGTCGACTTGTGGACACATTTTTACACTGATTATGTACCCATGCCCCCAAGAACGTCTCTGGTTTGGGAAACTGCTAAAGAAAATTGAGAAAATCAGGATTCCAGCAAAGTATTTTTAGAAAGGTGATTTTCTGATTTTTTAATTTTCATTTCCTTTTTCGACTGGGGACATTGCCTCAGGCAGAGTGACGAAGTGAATCTGGTATAGACACAATGTTTACAATGAGAAAGTCGGTCCTTCTGGCCGACCAAACGTGCAAGTGTCATGGAGAGAACATGGATCTGAAGGGGCAGGTCACCAGCTGACCCACGGGGTGACGATCTTAGTCTGGGCTGGTTCGCAAGGGGCCTGTCGGCGGGGGTGAGCTTACTTCTTGAGGTGGATCATCAGGTACCGGAGGGTCTCGTAGTGGGCGGGAGGCAGCATCATCAGCACCTCGTGGACTGCTTCCAGCCTCTCGTCCGCGTTGGCGATTTCTGCGAAGATCACACATAGGGGATATCAGCACAGCCCGCGGCGTTCAAGCTTGCAGAGACGCGAGAAGAAGCTGGGCTACAGATGGAGGGGCGATCTACTACGAGCATGCAGTTTCGGGCGGCATTTCACTTAAAGCGACGAATGTGTTCCTGTCCGGCCTCGTTCCGGAAAAGGGGTTGAGGCTGGACATGACGTGCGTACTGACTGTCCACTG